AGTGGGAGAAGATACAACACCATCAGTTGTTCAGATATGAAAGGGCTCAGAACTTAAAATAAGTGGGAAGAAGTTGGACCTTCTTAATACAACCTTCATTGCCTTGCCCTCCCTGCTACCAGCTATTGCTTCACAAAAACCTAAATGCAGGCAACACTCAAAAATGTGCACGCTGATCAGTGTCTTGATAAGGAATGCAATACCAGACCTCAAAGACTGCTGGATGGCACCCAAACTTAGCAGAACTGTCTGTCTATTTATTGTCTCAATCTCATCTTTGAATATACATAATTCCATCAATTAGGCTGTGCATATTCAACAGATACAAGCCACAACATCAAAACAGAAAGGTCTTGAGAGAACAAAATTTTGATTTGTCAATTATATTCAACTACAAAGACTTACTACATTCAAGCCCCCTGTTTTGAAGTTCTGGGAACAGTTCACAGAATTCTACTGCATTCTCCACATCAATGGGCTTCATGGCTGAAATAACTTGATGGATTTTACAGTGGTTATCTTCAAGGACAACAGGTAAAACTTTTTTCTTCCCCTTCCCTAAACAATGTTCAATTCTTTGCGCTTCCTGTCTGTCTCTGTGTCCACCTGACTATTTCCTCTATCTTAGAAATCGAATACATGCAGGATACACATAAATTGCCTGTGTTCAAGAAGCATTTGGACAGTGCTCCAAGATGTATGGTTTAATTTTTAGGCTGCCCTGTGTGAAGTCAGGAGTTGGACTCAATGATCCTTGTGGGTCCCTTCCAACTCAAGGAGTTTCAATGATTTATGTGGGAAGACTATACACACAAAATTGTGCAGCATTAGTCTTGGAAGAGTTCAAATTTCAAACTATCTCATTATTATTGAATTGATAAGTTCTTACAATTAAGTTTTTTCTCATTTGGAATTATGTTCATGAAAATTATGAAATTAATAAATGAAATAACAGCTAGTGTTTCAAAATGTCAAGTACTTCATCTTGCATAGAACTGATGGAAAGGTGGACTAACCATTTACAACTTTTTCCTCATACTTTTAACTGTGTGAGTTTGTTCTTATACTTTTTCTACGTAACAGAATCAGTGACTACCAACCATTCAGTAAACTCAAGAAATAAAACTATATATTTCTATTTTCCCATTATTAATATGCATGCATCTCATTTTATAAGCATCTGTCTCAAAACACACTGCTAATCTGAGACCTACTTTATGATCCAATACTATACCTATTATTTTAGAACACACCACCAGGCAGTAGGGTAGCAAAGACGTTAGTGTATTAGCTACGAAATTACGAAGAGTTTCCCGTTATCCTAAAGTAACATAAAAATAAAGGCACACACCCACCCACATTACTGTCAGTGGATCTTTCCTTTGGCATTATCTGCAGAATAAACGATAGCCACTGCCCTATATTCTTAGGATAGCTTGCACACAAGCTAGGGTAAGATTGCTTTTCGCAACAATCATGCTGTCCATGAATAAGAAGTCACCGAACTTTTCTCCTGAAGCACAGTTACACAGTTATAATTACACATTAAATTGTCTAATCCATCCCACACCAAAGAACAGCAACAAGCCTAAATTGTCCCTTACAATGAGAACATGTAACATCTGCTGCAGTTTGCAAAATCATATGGTGGGGGGAGAAAAAAAAATGCTAGTTTGGGAATCAGTCAATCAAATGTTCATTTAAATATGGGTTGGGGACAAATGTATGCCTGATGAATATGACACATTTCAAGTATATGCATAATAAAATTATGAAGTCAATCATGTGTTATTGTGTCATTTCACTGGAAACTGCAGAATGAGTTTAATAAATTCTACTTCCTCTGAGAAACAGGCTACCAAATTCCATACAGAGATTATTTTTAAATGAGAACTTAAAAAATAATTAAAAAAAAAATCTGGTGTACATCAGAAAACAGCCCTACCTGGAGCTGTGGGATTATGAATATAGCACAGCTCTGATTCTCAACTAAACAAAAGGTAGCTTCAGAACATTACATTTAACATGTCACACGTGAGCATTTCAAATTCCTGTGAGTACTAATGCTTGCCTAAGGCAGAAGAAGCAGCAGCAGTTTAAAAGGTACTGCTTTCTTCATACAGACTTCCAAATACACTTAGCAAAGTCAACTAAAATTGTATTTAGAAAGCCTAGAAAATAGTACACTAACATCATTTGAAGTTATAGAAGTTTTCAGATCTGCTTGTTTTCAAATAAATGAAATAGAAAAGTTGAAAAGCATTGATTAAATACAGCAGGCAAACACACAGAATAAATGAATGTTTTGGGGGTTGGTTTTTTTTTTTTTTGTTTTGGGAGTTTTGTTTGTTTGTTTTTTAAAGAACTGGTCCAGTATTATCTGCTTTAGGAATTTATAGTCCTCTAAAAAAATCGCAGTCAAAGACCTTAGGAAACATACAACTTTGACAGCAGTTGAGGGTCTCTGCTAGAAGACAGAATGTGAAGTTTCACCTGCACAAGGTTTCTTTTGCTGTTATATCTGAAACAGCTGAGTTGACAACATTTTCTAAAACACCCTAATACAGACTAACAAAAGAGCCAACGAAAAACAGCTTCAGGTATACTATAACTAATCTTTCCATACTGCTAAATGGCTATTATGATATGCACCGCCTTTCTAGCAGGTGAGCTAGAGCCTGTTACAGAGCACTGTAAATAGAGTCCCATCAACAGGACTTCTCTGTACTTGTGCACCACTTTCCTCCCCAACCCCACCAGGCAGCTGTATCTGTAAATCAAGTGAGGAAACTAGGAAAATTCTATAATTACATACCTGCTACTGATAGATTAGAAACAAGCATAAAGAACAAGATTTATTCTTTCAAAAATAATATAAAAGGAATTTGTCGAGAGACCTGTACACTAGATACAGACTTGAAAAGACAGAATAATCAATAAATTGGAAACTATTAAATCAGCACACAAAAAAAAAGGTATGAGGGCATCTCCTGACTTTCAAATTATTTGTTCTTCTGAAGCAGATCACTGAAGAAAACCCTAGGCTCTAAATACCATACAAATAATACAAATCCATAGCCCAGCAAACAAAACCAGAACTATCTGAGATTTCAGCCGATTTCTGACAACAGGAAAAGAGAGTAATCTGTGTTTGTGCAAATGATTCTTTTTTCAAGATATATCAAAGCTGACATGTAGATCAGCTGAGAAGTGTTTGCACTGCAGCAGCTGCTGCTATCTAATTGTCAGTCAGGCAACTAACAATGTTTTCTATAACAAGAAATTAAAACCAACTCAAAGGAACTTTCCATAGAGACTACAACAGATGTTTATTTTCTGTTTTTAGCACTGTATCTACCAAAAATATTTCGAGATTAATTGGTTCTGCAGTTCCATACAAAAAAGGATATACTTAAATATCAATTCTGTTGCCTTAAAACATATGGGGAAAGTACATGGCATGGGCTGTGCATCAACCAACACCACACAACTGGCTCTTCAGGAGTTGTACCAAGGATCTATGAGTCTTCTACAAACACAAAGAGTCCACTTTCAAACTGCAAAAGGCAATTAAAGTAATGCAAATTAAAGAACACTTCTGCAAACCTAGAATCAACCTGTACTACAAACAGATCTTTTTCAACACTAAAGGATTTTTCCAGTCCCGCTACTCCAGAAGATAGTCTTGTTACTGGCCCCTTGAACTAGCAATTTTTAGAACTGCGTGCTAAAGTCAAAACTTGATGTCTTGCAATGTTCCTGGAAACCCTATGTAGTTTAGGGGAAAGTGAGCAACAATTTGCAGTGCTACAGATGCTGCATTTTTGACTCCACCTTTCATTTTAGTCTAAAAACTTCGCTACTGCGAGTATAAAGAGTTTTGAACTACTTGCATTTGTAGTCTGGACCAAGTGTTTATACTATGAATCAGCCTAAGGACCCTACAGCAGTACTGTAGCTTCAACAAGCCTTCAAAGAGGACAAAGTACAGGGAAGTAAGAGCCAAAATTAGCTCTCGTACTAGAGCATCAAAAACACACAGTGACTTTTTCTAGGTCACTTTCTTATAGCATAGCTAGTACTTCTCAAAACCCATGAAAAGAAAATAACACTGGCAACATCTCAAGAAGCAGTTTTCTCCATCTTAAGGCTACAAAGAGCTTACAGAGACTTTCTACCTGCAGTTCATTATACACTTAATACAATTCTTTTCCCTGTTCAGAAAAGAGAACATGTTTGGGCCAAGCTAAATGAGAAGAATGGAAGGACCTCAAACTCCAAAAGTAAATTTTTAATCAAGACTATTATTGTTACAATTAGCTCCTTAGTTGTAATGTTTGCTGCAAGAGCCTATCAATCCATTCAGGGCAGCCTGAACTGGCCCGAATGCACATTTATTTTCCTCTAACATCACAACCCGCACAATCAGGATGAATCCTCTTACACACATTGCAAGCATCCATTCAGTGAAAGATTAGCATAATATTAAGGCCATCTGAAGTACAGAAATGAACAGCACTGAATGCTTTATTGTGCAGCCATTTGGTTATGCACAAGAGGGAACAACCCAGCCAAGACATCTGGCACAAGTTACCATCACTACAAATTTTTTGCACAATTTTAAGAACTCTGGTCAGCACCTGCATGTCGACGTGGAAGTTGCAATGAGCTTCCAGGGCCTACTCTCAAGGAAAGCCAGTCTGGCAAGACTGAAGAACCAAAATACCAATCTGCTTTGGCACAAAATTAAGCGGGCACAGAATACTCCACCTTCCTTATAAAGCTCAATATTACAAGGCTAAACATCCAGATAATTTTTTTTTTTTTAAAATGGAAAGGGCCCATTTAAAACAATATTCCTCCCTCTATTCATAAACCTATTATGACAGTCAAGAGATACCACTCTACCATTGTAGCTGGCTATTCCCTTTTCCTGTCCTGTCTCAGAGAAGCTGAAAGCATGAATTAAGTCATATTTACAGCTGTCCCGATTCACCTACCTGATATAGGGATCCCTCCCAGACCTGTGCTGTGTTGTGGTGGGAGATTCAAGTCCAAGAAATTACTATTTGAGGTGGGATTTGCTGTGTGGTTCAAGTGCATGATGCTATTGCGTGGGAAGGCCATCCAAGGATAGCGAGCTGCTTGGCCTGGAAAACTGAAGGAGTTGTAAACTGCTCGATGCTGTTGAAACTGTGGGAACCTCTGTGGCATGACTGGAAAGGTGCTACTGAGAGAGTTGGCATTTGTGGGTGCAGCAGGATGCAGGAATCCAGAGCCTGGCCCTTTGGCAGTTGTAGTGTGTGGGGTAGGGTTCTGAAGAGATGTAGGCGAGAGGGAAGGTTGGTCTTGGACTGACAGTTCCTTCTCAATCAGGTCTGCTAAGGCTTTGCGGGTGATGTCAAAGGGGTCAAACCCTAAGTCGTCCTCTTGCTGTTTGGAGGAACCAAACCCAAAAGCCGCTTGCCAGTCTGTGGAGGAGGATACTGGTATAGTTTCTGTCAGAGAGGAGAGGAATGGGATTTAGAACAAGAATTAGTAAGTATCCATAAAAAAATTTCAGCCTCAGTGTATTTGAATCTACGTTGCCAGTTATCTTTCATAAAATACTTCTTTACACATTCCCCAAAGACACCTTATTCATCAGCTTAGAATGCCATTTTCAGATCAAACTGTCATAGATTTCTACTTAAGATGCAGTGGTAGAACTAGCAAATAGTATTTTTACTGCAGAATTATTCTGTTCCCAAACTACAGAAAAGCCTTGTCAAGTAAGTATTTTCAGTAATAGCACCAAGTAGAGACCAATAAACACTTGCTTAGAACCTTCTTTACACCCATATTACTTGATAGAAGTGTGACCCAGCAGAGTTTAAATAAGGTTGTTATTCAGTTCAGTATTTTGCTTTCAGTATTAATGCTGTGCTGTGAAAGAAAGGTGAGGAGGAGAAGTTCCCTCTCAAAGGGGGAACCTCTGAGTAGTGGTTAAAAAAAACAACCAAAACACCCCACCCCCCCACCTCATCTACCATTATGAAGAAAAAACAAGCCTAATTCTTGAGTAGACACCTTGATAAAACAAAAGGAAATAAGGAACTGCATTACAAGATACTGTTAAATATTTTGAGGCAGTGTTGCAAAAAAGGGTTATCAGAATTTCCCTGCATTTTCAATTACTATTTCATTATACCACTAAAGTTTTTTATGCAGGTTCAGTGAATGCTGGGTCTAGTTTCACAGTATTTCTCCTCAAAACTGTGGTAATGCAAGCTGATGAGTACAAGGTAGCATCACTCACATTAACTCCCTCTGCTGGTAGGGAACCCGATCTGCTGCTTTAAGTAGTTAAAATTAAGCTCAGTATCCTCTCTTATGAAAGAAATCTATGCTTCTATTTTCACTCTAAAATTCATGATGATAGATGAAAAGAGTTGCTAGACAGACAAAAACTTGTCCTTTGTACTCCTATTTAAATAGCAACCATGTATTTTATATTAATTATGAAACAAACAAGATCTCTACTACCAGGAAATTGTCTCTCACTGCTACTTAATCCTCACAAAATTGGTGCATATAGTACCTTAGCAGCACATAATTTCCTTGGTAATAAATATTGTTTACAAACAGGATTATGACATCCAGAAGTCAGATAAACATCAAAAGAAGACTAATCACTAAGTAAACCAACTGTGTCCTTGAAGTATCGTTTACATTCTATTTATTACTGATATTGTTTAATTTTCCTAACTCCCTCAAATTTATAATTTGTGAGCTTTTAAATACTGTTAACCGTTCCCAAGACTATACAAACACACCTAAAAGGATGTTTCATTCATATAAAGTAGTATTTCCTACAAAAGTATCTGGAAAATACAGGTATCTTTCAGTTGATACCATTAACCATATTTTTATCTTTTCTCAATGTATACAATCTCACTTCAGAAAGAGAACAATTAGGCACCTTTAGATAACTATGCAGGATACTAAATAAAATTCTGAATTCCACTGCACAGCTTCTGATGTTAGAATTATAGATTATAACAAATTATTATACCAACAAATACTGACACCATGTATTTTCCCCACTCTCAATAAAGACCTGTAACATTAAATATTAAGAATACATGTCACATCCTATTATTTAGACAGGCACATGGCTAAGAAAAACTAAAATAAGCACTCTGATAATTTACTGATGCAGCTGGAAAACTTTGTAAAGTTTCTTTTAGAAGAAACCCTTACATCAGTCCAATTTATTTGTAGTTAAGTGGCAAATTTTAATCATTTGTGAAGGGAAAAAAAACAGTATGAAGCAAGTCCTAGAGTTTTTGGTTCTACACAGTTTTAGACATCAGCTGCAAAAGCAAGCAATACCCAGCCACATAACCTGTGTACATACCTGATGTGAAGAGGCTCTGTGGTTCTGGTGCTGTGGGCCAGTCATTTGAAGTCTGTGGAGAGCTTGGGAATGGAGGAAGCCCACTAGGGATGGGGTTAGGGTGCCGAAAGTTGTCAGAGAAGAGCGACTGTGATTCTGTTACAGCCCCTTCAAAAGGAGACCGTGCACTGTGATTAGATGAACTGATGGGTATGACCGGATTGGGTTTTGTTAAACCAGGCGGTGGTGAAGGTGTGTCACTGTTTGTTATCTACAGGCAAGACAGGGAGAGAAACAATTAGGACATGAGTGTTTATATATATAAAATATTCTTCACTAATTCAGTTGAAAAATTTCCTCAAAACTTTTGGCTGCAATTAGGTTAGTTAATCTATAGCTCAGTCCAAGATCAAATATAAAAACCAACTTAGCAGTAGCATTTTTTAGTTTTGTTTAAAATTATGATACGCTTCAGAAAGTACTTGCTTCTCCAACTAGAAGTTGCGCCAAGCCCTCAAATTCAATTCTTACTTTCACAGTGTTTTTCTTTATGTCTTACCTGCTGGGAGCTGTCACCATTTCCTATACTGAGGGAATCTGAAGGTTTGTCGATAGGGCTGCAAAAGTGGGAGGTGAAAAGAGACAGTAAGACACTCAAGTATTTAATGTGGAAATCAACATTTGCTTTCGTAGGGTAGAAAAGCCTTGAAATAAAGACAAAGCAAAATTAATTAGGAGGAATTAAGAAGAAAAAGTCCACTTATTATTTATGAGACTGTTTTTTTTTAATCACAGGCATTCCAAACATTTGCCATGTACTGTAATACTTCTTCCCACCACTCTCCACTCTGCTTGTTGACTGCCCTGTTAAGGAACAAAAGGAAAGCTTTAAACATGTTCATAGTAACTACGCCATTCAAAAAACAGGACTCTTGTACTACGGCAGTATTCCGTAGTAGTCAGTTCCATCTATGCTACTACTGGAGAGAAACCTGGGAGCAGATTTGTTTTCCAAATACCTAAATTGTCAGCTCCCATACAAGTCCTAAATAAATCTGGGGAGAGATGAAAGATTAAATTAACTATTTAGTCCTGGCGACAAGTTAAAGTTTGAAGACTGGTGGGAAGCTAACTAGCAGCAATTAGTTCCAAGGTAAGAAAACTGAGTTTTGAGATGACAGAAGGGGGAAAACGCAGGAAAAGACATAGCATAAAAAATTGCCAACAAATGCAAACAGAATAAAACATAAGATACAGCCGAAAACCACCTCAGAAAGCTATTCACTGGGAATTAACATAACTCAGCTGAAATGGCACATCTCAGGATTCAAGATTCTGAGAGGCATCTGTGAGTTGCCTTAATTATGCTAAATACCACACTAATGAAACAGTATTAGTTCAAGTTCAGATTAAAATCTCAGCTTTACAACTTCAAGGTACTTTCATTTTTATCTACCCATAAGAGAAAATGCACAAGCATCAGGCTGCCCAGCTCAAAACACCAGTCCTACAAAAAAGGACCAGAAGTAAGAACAAGAATTTCAGTTCCATTAAGAGGCCAGAATGTGATACAATGATGTTTTAGCACAAGACAAATATGTATACAGTAATTATTTTAACTGGCTGCAGACTTCTGATTCTAGCTACACCTTGTTTTCAAACACCCCTTGCTGCTGCAAAATTTAAATATTGCATCGAGCCACATATCAAGGTCAAAAATTCCTAAGATTGCTTCCCCCCATATTTGTTCTTCTCATCCCAGAATAACTAGAGTCAAAACCAAGGAGAATTAATTCTTCTCCATTCTAAAGAAACTGTGGAATAGTAATCCATCAATAAAAACAATTTTTGTGCAAAAGAACACTGATCGAGTCGGTATCTCAAAAAGATAACTGAAGCTGAATTATTTATGAAAAGAAAAATATAAAAGAAAAATCAGAGGAATATACTTGCAAGCAAGCATTACTCCAGTGAAGATTTACAAATACTTCCTACTCAGTGGTCAAACAGCATGAACAAAGTTCTTCCATTTGGAAGAAACTGCCTTGGGTTAGTAATTTCTGAACACCTATAGCACAAAAGTTTGCTCTTTGTGAATGATGTTTTACACAATCATTCTCATTGTAGAGCTGATACTCCAGCCAAATTCTTTTCCCAAAGCTCCTGACAGAAAGTAACAATGCTGCAATTTAAAAAGATATGCGCAAGACAACTTATTTTAACAACAATTTAAATGCTGAAAATGTTTATTATACTTGAACCTGCCTAAGGAGCCTTTCTTTAATTGTAAGACAGGCTTCCAGCCCTCAGCAGTGAACAAGATTAATTATCTATTGGCTACAATATTTTTACCTACATTTAGTACATTCTTTTCAGAAAACATAAGAAGGAAGCTGCATGTCACTACTGAGATGCAACCACAGGATCTCTGATCACACTCAACAGGACTCCTATTAGGCCTAACAAGAAGGTACCACTTTCAACAGCACTCACAACATTAATGCATCGGTTCAATATTGATTTAAAATGAAGATCAGCTACCTAATCAGCAACACCAGTTCTTGAAATATTAGGGTTTACCTTGTTATTTTCTCATCCAACCTCTGAAATGAGACCAATCGCTATTACCTAAAAAACCGATACTACCATAAAAACCAAAACAGCCTGACTACAGACTACCTTCGGAAATGCACACGATGCTTATGATGGAGGAGAACACCAGTTTGATTCAAGGAGGGCACCAAAAGAGGAAAAAATGTTGGTTAGAATAAGGGAGTTATTGCAAGCAGATGAATTACTTCCTCTGCACAAAGAAGCCTCACTCAGTTGAATCTGCTACCCTGTTGTTCCTGTTACTGAGTGATAATCAGGGAACCCTTACCTCTGCAGTTGTATTTCTGGAACACACCACTGTAAATAGATGACAGATATTCAGCCCTAACATTTAGCTTCCTTCTGTTAAAGCTTTTACAAGTGACAAGCCTCCTGATGTATAGCAACTAGTGTGTTACTTTTGTGGAAGCTTCTGTATAGAAATGAAGGGCTCAGCTGTGGCTGGGACCATGCAGCTATATAAGCTGTTGATCCCCCAGTTATTCAGTTCCCCTCAGCCCCTACCTGTACCATCACTTACTAACCTCACGTTAGGGTTCTCCTGCACAATCTGCCAATCAGTCTTTTTGATGTGGGCTAGGCTAAACCCAGCTTTTTGTGACCTGATCAGGATTTGAATCCAGCTCTCCAACCAGAGAGAGAGACCGGAGAATCATTCCCTCCACACCAATCAGTGAGAGAGAAAGCAAGCTATCTGAAGTATAAAAGGCAGCACAATTACCCGAAATCTGAGTCTGCACCATCTGGAGTCATGTGTTCTGGGTCTGTGCCATTTTCTAATATAGGAGGCGTTTTCCTGTGTTCCATTGTTAAACCGTTGGCTGATTTACTTGAACTCTGTAATGATGGCCAGGCATCTTTGTTATTACTGTTGGGTCTGGAAAAAGGCAAGAGTAAAAAAAAAAAAAAAAAAAAAGAAGAAGAAGAGTTCAAGTTATGAAGAAAGTGTTTTTAAAAATTGTAAGCACTGGGGAAATGAATCCTTGTGCCAGACAATCCATAAGAATAGATTTATCTGGATATTATTTCTCAGATTTAAAATGGTGATGACTTAAAAAAAGAATTAGTGGGGTAGGGAGGAGAGAAAGAAAAATGCAGGGAATTCTGTTTTCTTCACTGAATAGATAGCAGCTCTGCCAATGCTGAAGTCCAAACTTGTCCATTTGCAGGAGAGGAAAAAATAAAACAAAAAATCCATTGACAGCTTCAAGTATTCAGACCTACACACACCTCATTTAGAATTATTTGCTTTATCTTGTAAGTATTTGTAAGTTCTGTAAATCATGAACTAAATCACTTTTTTTTTTAAAAAAAAAAAAAAAAAAAGCTTTATATTCCAGGCCCTATCAAGACTGGCCCCAAAACATGAAGTTTGTGTTTTATGCCTACATGAGAGCCCACAGCTTTACTAACAGACCATGAGACCAGTCAGACCAACACACTGTTCATTCAAGTTACTGCTCCCTTCATTTCTAGTTTAAAGCTGTAATTACTTCCCTTTTATAAAGTAACGTTAAATTTCATTTCAGAGTGCAAATTAGATCTGAAAGAAGTTCAAGAGAGGACTTAAAGCCCAAGTTTTTGCTGAAAATAGCTACTGTTTATATAAATTGAAGTGAGCTGGAGTATCATCTATAACAATACATTCAGATACAGTGTCATCTGCTAACCCTAAAATCTTACTATAAAGGATTTGCCTTTGAGTTCTCCAATTCTTTTATATTAACTTTAGCTTTTCATTTACTTCAGTTAGGATGCTGTTTTTAGTGTCCAAGTGCTGTCTTCATAAGGAACAAGCTTTCAAAAAAATTTTTTTTAAGTATGCATGTTCTCCCTGATGCCCCCCTTCATTAATATGTTCTTATTACATGGTCCAACATTTACTCTACATCTCTAGGTCAAGTTAGTAAATTCACAGTCAGAATCTGGAAATTCCTATAGCTGCTTATAACCACACAAGTGTTTCCTACTCCTAATCAGATAAATCTGGTGTTACTAGCTACCCTCAAATCTCAGTATTTAAGATTTGCTATTCTACCTCCATCTTTTCTCATATACCTACACAATATGTACACACAAGACCCTTGACCTGATTTACAGATCTCATCTTTGCTTTGTAGACATTAGAAATAAGAGATAGCAAGTTGATCAGATATTGAACATCAAGGAATGAAGACACGTTATCATCAGCGCAATGTCAGTCATTCAATATTCTCACCCTTAAAAATGAGCTGTAATCTAGATGTAACAAGACTTTCAATCCATTAACAGGTCTATTTTAAATATCAAAATATACGTCCATTGCAGTGCAAAGCCATCTCTACACTAAAAATAATTTCAAAAGGTGACAGTTAAAAGTCAATTGTGCATCCAAGGAGAAAGGTAAAGAGAAAGAAACTTTTATGTTTTGTGGTGTGTTTTTCTGTGGTTTTTTTTGTTTTGGTTAAGTGTAAAGCTGCATGCTTCTAAAGGGCTGTTCTCTAAAAGACCAGCAAGTGCTTAACAAGTGTTTCCACTTGTAGCATAAGAAAGGATTCATTTCAGTTCTTTAGGAAAAGGTCAGCAGGGGCAGGGGAAGCGAGCTTGATCTGTTTTAAATGCGGAATATACCTCTATTCTTAAGAGAATGCAGTCACCATGACTATCAAGTGACATACCAAGAGATGAGTACCCATATACAAAGTGGCACTGGGGGATTTTAACATTTGCCTTCAGCAGTAAGAAAAAAAGTCTGTGAGTAGGGCCTTTCAAATTAGAACACAACTGTGAAAAAGTATTTATGCATAGTTTAAGAAACTGTTTTCTACTATTGGATATTTATAATTAAACATCTATTCTTTAGAATTCAACTTCTGTTCAATTCCAGAGTGAAACAGAAATCCTGCACCCCAGAAACACAAGAACAGCCACAAAACTGTCAGAGCCTCTGACAAACTGCCAGAAATATTAATATCATATCAATGAATCAGACAAAAACGAGAACCCAATTGGGTAGAAAGCTGTGAAGGAGAACAACACACATTCACCAGCTCACAAGCTACATTTTGTACTGATGAGATGGGACTTGAAGAAACATTTCAAAATCCCAGCTGCAAGAAATTCACTTTGCAACCCAAAAGGCAGTGCCTAGGCATTATCAAAGAACAGAGTCTATGTTGTGATGATGTTGTTCAGCTGACAAGAGAAATTAACTCCAGACCACTTGCTGCCTTTAGAGTAACATGCCATTTTTTCCACAAGTGCCAAAATGTTAGCACCGCAGACTCGCAAAGCTCCAACTCATAATTGCTTTCTGAAGGCTTAAAAGTTTGCTGCAGTTTCAGATAGAGCATTTTTTCCTCACTGGTATCATTTGTTTTGCTGGGATCTAATTAGGTTTCAAGTTAAGATTAGTTCAGACTTTGAACATAAAATAATCAATACCCAAATGCAGAAAGTGGTCTATTTGCTTTACTTGCTGCACTCTACCTTCCAAGTCAATATTGAACCGGTGCCCAAGAAATAAGAAGTGGCACAGTCCTTAAGAAAAGATCCAACTGGAGGTCCTAACCACTTGCAGTCAAAGAGCATATGACACTTCCTCCAGAAGTTAAAGAAAATAATCCCAGTATACCAGCTGGGATACCAGTTCTCAGAATTATATTCTGCTTATTCAAGCTCCATTGGCAGTATTTTAGATATATTACCCACTTTCTTGCTTAAACTGTTGTGCAGTGATGCTGCCAGTGGCATATTATTGTCTGAAAAATTCAAGAGTGGATAAACTGGCACACAACACAAACCCTGATTACAAGACCAAGGTGCACATGAAGTGCAATCTAACTTTTGCATTCCACTCTGCCCATCTCCTTATGAAAATCCTATAAAAAGGAGTGGAGGAAATTAACGGGTTTTATTTCTTTATCTTAAATATGACATTTGAGTGGATAATTCACATAAGGACTGATGACCGTAGGCTTTCATTTCTCTTTGCATGACTATGTACTCATATGGACAGATTATTTTCATAACTTACTGAACAAACTACTTCAACAGAGTATTATTTTAAGCAGTAATAAGTGATATCTGCAATGACAACACAAGGAAAGATATATCACTTCAGTTTACTTGATGAAAGCAAGAAATCTTTTACTCACATCTTGTGAATTCTCACTCACACAAAAGAAACTGATTTTACTTTCAATTTCCAAGGTCCTTACACCTAATGTAAGGACTGCACTATAAATCATAATGTAAAAAACACAATAAAAACCACATATCAAGACTATAAGGTGTCCCAGATGTGAGAGTACAGACTGCATTGATCATAACACCACACCAAGAAAGCTGACATCTGGTCTTTCATAAATATTATGTATTCATGCAAATATAAAATACAAAGTCTTTCAGAATAAGAATACCTCGTTCTGAACTCATGATCCAAATGCACACAACAGAAAAACATTTCCTTACTAAGACTCCCACTCACTTTGTATTAGAACAAAGTGGTGCATATATGTCCACACAGATAGAGTTTATCACGTAATAGCCATGAAAAAGAGCAGGCAACTTGGGGGGTGCAATAGGAGTAAGAAAAGTTTTCTTCAGGAAAAAACAGAAAGAAAGCATAGCCAGGTAGTCCAGCATTAGTACTTGTGCATCATACCTCTGCAGTGCTGTCACTTTGTTCTTGTTCTTGTCAACTGTACCCGTAGATAATTGGAGAAAGTTGGGGTTTAGTTTGTATAATTCTTGCAGTAGTTTCTGTTCATATTCCTGGTGCTTTCCCGCCTAAGGAAAGAGAAACTCACGATGAATGAATACTGGTTTAATAGATATTTTTATAGATAGATATA